TTGATATTTATGATTTTATAGGCTAATTAACATGATGCCTTATGGTTTTCTTGATATTATTTCCCACACCTTCTATTGGCAACACATATATGTATGGGTGTTGTCAGAGCGGATATGGTTCGGATATGACACTTATCATATCCATATCCTCTTTTTATAAACGGATACGGATCATTTTTGGTAAGAAAAAACCTTAACCTTATCTGCACTTATCGAAAACGGATACGGTTCGGATATTTGAGAATCGGATCGGATATGATCACGTATATAAATGGATATTCGACAAATGTATATAAATCGGATATGAATTAGTAAACCTATGCATAAATTACAACCAAATAGGTAAACGTATGTAGTTGTAGGCTTCTCCTTAATTCACATATAATTAGAATTACTCTATATAGTAATAAATAGTTTCTGAAGGCAGCTAAAGAAATGTAATATAAAACATTCTGTGAATAATTTCTGAGAATAGATTGCAAACAGAAGACTCTTCTAAGAACAAGCAGCAAACACACACAACAACCAAGTCCTAAGACAATTACAGAAATGTAATAGAAAACTTTCTGAAATAAGACGAATACAGCACTTATTTTTAGTTTCTTATCTCTATTTTGGTTGGAAACAAAATCATAGCAAATGAAACCAATTTTATGGGTAGTATTTTAATGTACTTTGTCAGAACTTTTTGACTATTTCCTTCATATTAGATAAAAATTGCATTGACTTTCTCCTATTTATTTATTTTTAAAATTTTGACACTTTCAGAAAGAAATTCATGTAGTTTCTACAAATTTAGGAGAACCAAATATCCTCATAAAACCAATTAGATCAAAATTATCTGATTTCCAAGCAAAGCCTAATATAAGGTGCATACAGAAAATTTGGATTTGCATTATCTAGATTTCAAATATGGGGAATTTGGATTTAGATTATTTGGATTACTAATACATGCAAGTTCCTAAACAGTTAGGTCGGTCCTTTTTTCGGATCAATGTCACAATTATAGATAAAAATAGAGTGGTCCAAAGAGATAGATGAAGTACAAAGGGGAATATATTAGACATCAATTAATCCAAGTCGATGACACCAATTAATAGGATTATATAATCGTCTCTTTTAGCTCATTTTGAGTAGGGGGCAAATATTTTGAGTTTCCATTCTAGTTTCGTACCTTTTGTTTTTAGTTTTCCTCTCCAACTACGGTCCAACTACGGTGTAATATTTTTCCATTAGCTTATTCGACGGCTATAGCGTTATTGTTAGACCCTAATGCCACAAGGAAAGAACCCTAGAGGGGGGGGGGGGGGAGAGTTTATGCTAATCTAATCCGATTTAATGCAAGTTAAAACTAATTAATAAATATCCTAGGGGGGGGGGGGGGGTGAATAGAGTTTATGCTAATCTAATCCGATTTAATGCAAGTTAAAACTAATTAATAAATATCCTAGCAAATATAATATGTGACAAGATATTATGCAATGATATACAAATAAACAAAGGGTAAAATAAACGAACTACAAATATGATAGGGCAATATACACAAAGAGTAATAGACAATGGCGATATAAGATAAACATAAAAGTAAATGAACGCCAATACAAATGAGACGCCCTTGGGTTCACACAAGGCTGCAGTCCAAGGTGAAACCAAGAATGTCAAACCTGTCATGTACCACACCATGCAATAACATGTTTCACCATCACAATTACTATCTCTCTAGTAGAGTCAAATAACAGGTATAGGTACAAAAGCAAGTAAAAGATAATACAAGAGTCAACTGATGAAATAATAGAGATCAAATTAATATTTCATCATCTAACATACTGAAGTATAAGTCAATGTCTGAAATGAATATACTGGAGTTCTCGACAAGTCTCAAATACATTAAGTCTGAAAAAGAGGAAATAAGGCACACAACCTTTACAACTTCTAGATATAAACTCTCAAAATGACTAAACAAAGCCTACAGTGGAGCTCAAAAGTAAAATATAACTATAATAGAATAGCCGAAGCTAAAGTGCCTCGCCATCAACCTGCGACTCTCCGGGCTCCTGGCTCGTTACCTGAAAGGGGGAGGGACAACGAGCGTCAAAGCGCTAGCGAGCAACATCACAACCAACCCCAAGGGAAAATGGCTCGTTGTATACAGAAAATACAGTTATAACATATATATAAATCACAAATCCTATTTAGGTAATTACAATGTGAGCATAAGTACGTCGAGCGAAATAATCCAAACAAGGAAACCCTCATGTATGTACCATGTAGCTCAGGTTGTAAGTACCTATGTATAAGAGGATTTTAGTATTTAGGAAGTTACAACACGAGCATAGGTACGTCGAGCGAAATAATCCAAACAAGAAAACCCTCATGTATATACCTTGTATCTCAAATTGTACATCCCTAAATACCAAACCCAAAATCTAATACAAGAACATTAGTAAAAGAAGGCAAACTTATCTCAGACTTAATTACGGTGTCGTGTCCCAACTCATATAAATGTCGTGTCCAGCCTATGCAAGTATAGGTTTCAACTCTCAAGGTCTAAACTGATGTAGTGGATGTCCAACACATGGACTACATATGAAAACTGTCCAACACATGGACTGAAAGTGAGAAAAGTCCAACACATGGACTACACATCATAATTGCCCAACACATGGACTATATGAGTTATATGAACAGGTGCATATACCCTAATTTCTCACGTGTCTCGGTGCGCAAACCTAACCTCGTGTCCGCATGTCATCTCACATGTAAAGATACATGTTATACATAAATATCTAATATCCATCATTCGAGGCGACTCCTCGTTCATATTTAAGCACGTAGCAACAATGAACAAACATAAACAAATTTTAGTTAAACTGAAATAACTCAAACAGATTCAAAACTGAAGAAATACAAAAGAAGAAAACTCCTCATTAGTCGACTCATTGGTCGACTCATAAGTCGACTCATAAGTCGACCAGGCAAAACACAAAACTAAAGTTTTCCCCATCAGTCGACTCATTGGTCAACTCATGAGTCGACTCATAAGTCGACTCATGAGTCGATTCATTGGTCGACTGAGCAGAAAATCTCCAGTTTTCTGCTTTCGATGATTATCTGCAAAAACGTTAACTAAAGTTCTCTTTAATCATGTCCAGCAATATATTTCCGATTCTAACTCATGTGTAACAACAAAAACTAAAGGGGTTTGCATGTGATCACTTACATAAGAACCTTAATCATATCAACATGTTTAAAAACGTATTGAAAACAGTAAATCACATTAAAACTCATGTTTAAACAAATTTCCAGAACTGGATCTTAATTTACAAATTCGTTTGTGAGCTTTTTATAACTGAAAAATATAGATCTTGCATCTCATAATGTACAGCATCTATTTTTATGCACAAAATACGTTTTAGGCTCAAAAATCTGAAATAAAAACTCAAGAAAAGCTATACAAATAGTGGGTATAGGATTGGGTGAGATGTTACTCACCTCTGATGTGCTGCAAACTCCTGAATCCGATGAGAGGACGATCCCCCTTCGACAGCACTAGGGTTTGTATGGGAGGAGGGAGGCTAGGGTTTTCTCTGGGGTCTGATGAGTCTTAGGGTTGGTTTCAGGTAGGAGAGTTTCTTATGAAAGCGGTCAAACCCGAAACAACCAAACCAAACCCACAAAAGAAAAGAAAAACTTGAAATCAGCCCGTCAGTCGACTTATTGGTCGACTCATC